GTCATTTATGTAAAAAGCACAGATCTTTATGTGCGCAGTTAAAATCTACTTTTATATTGTTTTATACAGTTCTTATAAGGCTTATACATGCTTTGTTTTTTTTGTTGCTTGGCCCATACCCCACCCTTCCACCAACTTTAAAAACATAGTTATAGTAGTTTTTTTCTTGTTATCCTGCTAACAGACAAAAAAATTACTGCACTACTACTGTACCATTTCTCCACGGTCCACACCCTGACCACAGCTACATCAGCTTCCTCACCGGCCGGCTACGTATATGTCAACACTTTCTCAGGAGCACTGACTCAGCTCAGCGGTTGAGCTCATTGGTCAATCTGAACTCTTTTCATATAGTACGAGTGTTGAATCATGTGGTGTTTTTCAGCTTCAGATGAAGTCATCACTTAAGTCAACATCATTTGATCTCTGACCAGAAACTGTGAGTAGGTGTTGCTGCCGTGGCCTTTCAGGAAAAATATTTTTTTTAGTGTCACACGCCCAAATTGTTGTACAGAGGATTCATTTGCTGTCTTAGGAAAAACACATTTTTTAACCATAGCAAGTTTCATATAAAACATATCAAACTGTAAGAATCTGTTGTAATTACAATTGCACGTTTTACTTTACTTATGAAATCTTTGTTAAAACAAAAGAGTTTGTGTTCAAAGTGTGTGTACATGGTGGTTTCTGGTTTGGCACTTGATTTGTTACGACAGGGTTATAGAGGGGGATGAGGTTGTGAAGTAAATGTGTCTGCAGCTTGATGTGGTTTTAAAAGAGTCCAGTTGTCCAAGAATTCATCAGTTTTTGAAAAGTTATGAACACATGGATGTGAATAAGATGTGACTTTCTTGGTTAATTAATGGATGGTTAATTGGGAAACTAGAGACATTTTGACATTGGTTAAAAACAGCTTAAAGGTACAGTGTGTAGAATTTTGTGATATCTACTGTTGATGCATGTTGCAGCTGATTACCCCCTCTACCCTCCCCTTCCAAACATGAAGAAAAAAACCAGTGGTAGCTTCAGTTTTCATAAAAACTCAATAGTCATTTAGTTTGTCCAGTCTGGACTAATGTAAAAAACATGGCAAAAACTACAATTAAAACTACAAGAAAACTACAATTCATACATTTTTAGATGAAACGAACTAGTGAAAACATCATGAGGATTATTCTACATTACATTTCTGCCAATAGTTCCCTTTCACCTAAATCTTACACACTAGACCTTTAAATATTTTTTTTGAAAAGTTTTTTTGAAGGTTCCCTCTTGTAAGTTCCCTATACTGTGCTGAACTGCAGTTTTAAGTAGCTGGATTTCACGTGTGCAGTATATTAGATACGCACATGGGAACTTCATTTGGAAACCAGTATGTTCTGTGTAAATCACATTTTCTATTCTAATAATAAGATTTTTAGTTCCTGGGATTGTGTCAAGCAGTATAGATAATAAATGGATGGAAATTTTCATTAATGATAATTACTAACATTAGTATTTTAGTTGATCACATTAATTTGGCCTCTAGTACAACAAATTGCCCCTCTGGGATAATAAATTCAATCAATCAATCAATCAGTAATCTGAGCATTTTTGCCTTTAGACTGTCAGAATCTTCTTGTTAATACAGATATCACATATAGGATCACTTCAATATGATAAAGTTCCAAAGAAAACGTAATAATTTCCACAGAGCCAACCTTTTGCTGCACTGTCTAGTTACTACCCTGATTATATTTCCACCAGATGAACCCCACATCGGTCGCAGACATCAGGGATTTTTGTCCCACTCCTGTTCAAAAGCTTAGTGCTGCCCCCAGAGTCTACCCACCAACAGTCGTAAAGAGACGGCACAGACCCAGGAGTCGGTGCTTTCAGTCTTCAAGGACTCTGATCGGTCTCTTAGAGGGAGGGTCAGAACAGCCTGTGGTGTTTGGGCTGGGAACATATGCCGTTTACACCCACAGCCTGTCTGCTCTGCTTCTTTATGCTCTCCATCATGGGGAAGAAGAAGGCGTTTACATGTTTTAACAGACTCGGCTTTACCTTCCCCCTGACATAAGATGGCTGACAAAGCTCCTGGGGTCAAAGGTCACAGTCAAGTATTTAGATATTAAAGGGATTTTTCCAGGTTTCTGGAAGAGAATTTGTCAAATGTTTTCCAAATCATCACCAACTCTGGAAAAGTTTTTTTTTAGGAGATTTAAACAAAAATACAATAAGTTACAAAGTGCTTCATAAAAACTACAAATGTTGAGTCTGATGAAATACAATTTAGTGACACATTATTGTATAAAGGAGAAATAAATTGAAAGCAACCTAAGAAACGGCTCATAGCATGTAGTTTTATTGTTTTATATAGAATCTTTGCACATTCTTCATGTAATCCAACCTGTGTATGTACTGAAAATACGAATATGGAAATCTTATGTTGCTTCAAAATGCTTATTTTTTCCAGCATGATGATGAATATCAAAATGATGAACACATCAGCACATAAATCAGAATTTCTGGTTTAATTTCAATCTTCAGTCCTGAAGAAAACCACTGGATGTGCGTTTGCACTGTACAACATGCAGGGTAAATGTAAAAATACTTCCCATCAGGTGAGATATATGGCACAAACAAGAGTTAGTTTGTTATGTAGGTTTACAAAGTGTTGTAATCTCACTGAGGAACATGTCAACACACTTCCTTTGACTCAGTTAATAAAATAATTGTCACATGGTCAGTTTGATGATATTCTCCTTTAGTGTAATGCCATCTGTAACTGAGCGTGTAAACTTGATCAGGGGATGAGCAGCAGTGATCCCACATGACACCACAGCTCAGCCACTGCTTACATTGGCCAACACATCACATTATGTCCCCCTCTGTAAATGTTTGGTTAAGTGTCCAAAGCAGCTTTGTGTCACGTCTCATCTCAAACTGAACTCGCTCACAGAGGCATCTAATAACAGGACAGTGTTATCTTTTTCATATGGGTTGCTCTTTAATATGAACAGGATTCTCAGCTGCATTGCCTCTGTATGTGTATCAAACAAAGTCATCTGTCATAGAGTGGGATGACAGTTCTCATTGAAAGAGCGGATGTTAATAAGCATGTTACTGACAGTTCAGTGTGATGTGTCCCTGTTTCATTCATTATATCATTTACAAAGAGATGCAAACAATGGATCATCCACAAATAGCACAGGGAGGCAGACACTGCTAGGATAGAGAGAGATGATGACAGTGATATTGACTGGCTGTCCATTCAGTTCCCACTGTACGAGCCAAATCTCACGGTTTATGTGTCCACACTGTACGGTCAGTTTGAGTGACACACCCAGACTGCATTGGCTCCTCCAGACCAGTTCAAAAGTTTTTCTTTAAGATGAAGAAGCTGAAATTTGTTGGCTAACAATGCTAAGAAGAAACAAACATACTGCTTCGATGATTGTGTACTGAGACATCCAAAAATAATGAACCCGTCAGCATATAGCTGATGGCTTGGTAGATGTTGTCATTTTGGTTTGGTTATTTTGCAGAAAGTAGGCAAACTATGTTTGAGGCTATTCTATTTTAAATTGTATAGCTACGCTCTGATCACTTTACTGTAAGAACCCTTCAATCTCCTTTTTTCTTGCTCCACAATTGGTTCCAGCCATAAACTACAGTTCCTACTTCTGTGTTTTGCCATTTCACGCAGACACAGTAAAGGAAAAGGTGCTGATTTCAGGGGAATTGACTCATGACTCTGCTTCAACTGTGCAAGAGGCTGTCGACAGCTGACCAAAATTTCTAACATGCCATACATTAATTAGACCCCTTACCCCCTGTACACCGCAGAACAAACGATGCACGATAAAACGGACTCTAAAATGAGTCATTTTAGAGTCAGCACAATAACAAACCCCAGACACAAAGTCCCCTCAAAAGTATACATCCAAAGGCATGCAGGGAAAAGAGCAGTAGAAGGGCTCATGCATGTGAGTCTCTGTATTATGTATAGTGTCTGGGCACCAACAGTTTGTTTCATTTTTGTAGGACTATTTGTTTGTCATGTGGGAGCCAGATGTGTGCGCATATTTGCGTTTTTTGAGATGAGACATTGCGTGCCGCTCACATGTGTGAGAGCCGGGTCTCCAGAGGAGCAGAGTCAACAACAGTGCAGAGGAATGAGAGCAAAAAAAAAAAGAATGTTGCTCAGCGGGCAGCGAATAACTGGCCTGAGGACATCAGCAGGACTTGATTAGACTCAGAGAGAGGGAGAGAAGAGGGGTGGTGGAGAACAGAGGAGAATCTCACAGAAGAAAGAAAGTGTTAAGGATAGAAAAGAGGGTAAAATAAGGAGTGAGTCAGAAGGATGGAAAAGAGGTGCATTAGTCAACATAAAACCATTATTTTATACTGCTGTCATTCAGATGTGTCAAAGCCCTGGTTAATGGCATCAGTGCTCTGAATGCAATGGTGCTGTAATTGCACATCAGCGACAGAGAGACACACACACACACTCACTCACTCACACACACATTATTCTTTTATTCTATTTTCCCCTCCATCCAGATGTCCTCCCAGCAAGGATCCAGATGGCCTGGATACCCTCCCTATAGTGGAGAGGTGCTTTTGACACACTCACACTCTCACACACACAGACACAAAGCAGCATGGCCGTGTTTTTCTCCCTCTCAGAGGGAAGATTAACTCTCCTCATTAGGGCTCCCCTGCCTCTGGCCCTCGTCTCTCCTCCCCCTTCCTCCCCCTTCCTCCCTTGTCGGCCTGCATCGCCGTCATTGGCTGCTTCTATCAGGACCGCTGCTGACTGGAGCGCCGTCACTACAGGACACAGGAGAGCAGGGAGGAGGTGGGATTGGTTGATGTTGCCACGGTGATAGAGGAGGCGATCATTCACCGAATCACTGAGCTGGGGCTGAAATGGAAATAAAATGAGTGGAGGGCTGCAGAAAGCGGGTTAGAGGGTGAAGGACTGAAAAGAGGAGAGGAGGGGGGAAAAACAATAACAACAACAGCGAGGGATTAGGCATCGACTGAGCAACCAGGAAGTCCATTTAGGACAAAGCAGCGTTAAAAATCCTCTCAGACTGTAGACGTGATCGTCATCGCTGCCCTGCCTGTTGGACCGGACAGCTGCTCAAGATCTGTGGGAGAAAAAATGGAAGCACACAAAGGAAGGATGAAATAACTCCTGGACAATCTCTCCTCTTTGCTGCTCTGATATTGCACTCCTGACGTGAAGTGAGAGGAGGTGAGCCGGTTGGAGTGATGCCTGGGCCACTGAAATAGAAACGAGAGAGAGAGGGGCATCGCTAGATATGAGGAGCATGCGTCAGCACTAAGGTGAGAGAGAGACAACAGAGATGAGCGAGGTGGAGAGTGAGGTATAGAGAAAGAGAGATTGAGGGTAGAGGTCATTATCGTGGCATTAGATGGGGCGACTGAAATCGAACCTGACAGATTTGTCACCTTCAAGCGCCACACCTTGTCTGCATCATCCCAACGCTCCATCCTGACTGCAGCAGCACTAAGGACCCACGAGGGATTTCCTCGCCTCATGGGACAATAACGATCAATAAATTATTTTTTGAATGATCCATTGTGTACCTTTGGAAGCTGTCTCTGAAGATTGAAACCATGTGAAAGGGACACACACTACTTCCTCATCTTCTTCTACATCTTTCAACAGAGGAGGAAGAATCCAGCACACATCAATGCAAAAATAAGGATTATGTTCTTGCTGCACGAAGAATCGTTGTCTGCAGGGAGTCATCTGTAAAATCTGATCACCTGGTCAGTCAGTGAACACAACCCTGTTCTGACTGTGTGAAATTGAGGAATTCATTGTCCGGCCATTTTCTTCATATGCTGACTCAGCCTAAATGAGGACGACAATGAAGGTGGGCGTATCGGGAGGTGTCCAGCATCTGAAATAACGTAACCCTGCACTGTGAATGACATGCAGATCACTGTTCTTGTCATCCTAATGACAGTGTGGACCTCGAGGCAGGCTGACTGACCGACTGGCTGAGTAAGTGCGTGAGCTGCTCCCAGAGTGAAGCTGTGGCTATCTGAGCACTTTGAGGACACGTAGCCCCGGGGAAATACCAGCCGGGTGGTGGAGCCCCATGATGGGGGAGACGGCGGAATACCAGAGGCTGCAGGACACCTCAGAGCCTGACTACCAACGCGTGCCCAGCGATGATGACGAGGTAGACTTCTGCAGTTCCCTTGATTACACTGTAGTATTCCTGTCACACTGCATGAGGCAAACATGGCTGACAGATAAAGAGTGAGCAGACAATTCAGCAGGTGTTAGTAATTCTATTGTGGTTGTCTCCCGGTGATTATGGTTCTCACATAAGTTGATCTTTAACATGGATAATAGTATGCATATTTGTTGTGCATGCAGATGTGAATTTGGATGTGCAACATGTGTGTGTGTTCCATAGACTGTATATAAAGATGTGTGTGTTCCTGTGTGTTCCTGTCATTACCCACATAGAAAGAAACATTTGGTTAATTTTCCCAGGTAGCTGTTTTCTGGTGATGTGACTTTTACTGTGCAGTCAGTGGCACAGTGTGTGTATTTACTGTGGTGAGATTGTTTAGCATGTAACTAAGAATCATGCAGGGATGTCCTGTATTATTTTCAGGAAATGTATTTATATAAATTTGGCGGAAATAAGTATTTTATGTTTCATTTAAATAACGAAAAAGTAATATTGGCTAAATTCCATTTAGCTGCTTCATGCTTCATTGTGGGAAGCACTGTCATCTTACAGCAAAAGGGTTCCTGGTTCGAATCCCAGTTCGGCTGGTGTCTTTGTTTGTGGAGTTTGCACGCTCTGTGTCTTCGGTTTTCTCTGGGTACTCCAGCTTCCTCCCACAGTCCAAAGACATGCAGATTCAGGGTTAAATTAATATGATACTCTAAATTGTCCATAGGTCTGAATGTAAGAATGAGCCTCTGTATGTTGGCCCTGTGATATGATGCCTGCCTGTCCAAGGTTAACCCTGCCTCTCGCCCACCGTCAGCTGTTTCCCGCTCCCCCTGCGACCCTCAAAGGATAAGAAATATAAAGATAGAAGGATGGATGTTCGCGTCCTTGTGCTGTGCAAGCTGACTTACTGTCACACACCCATGGCTTATTGAAACACATGAAAATCTGAGAGCTATAATGCACTGCAAGTCAGATCCCTCGGTAAAAAATACCTCCTGGTTTGTCTCATTTGACTCATTCATCTGTCACACAGAACTAACACTTTGACACTTGTATGTCAACACCACCACAAATCCAGTGACACCCTACCCAGCCCTTCTCACCCACACAAGGCTGGTCCCAGTGTGTGCCGTGTTATTAAATACAAAATTATGAGGTGACTGATGAAGTGCTGCCCAATAGAAACATTGGCAACGAATGACATTTCATTCCCTCCCACCTCTGACAGGCCGAGCTCTTATGTTGGTTTGGGTGAGGCCATTGTTACAAGGATGATTTTGCCTCTTTAAATCTTTATTTAGTTGCATAGTGTAGAAAGGCAGACAGGAAATGTGGCAAAGAAACAGAATGATATATACCAACAGTTCCACATTTAAACCATAAACTTCAGTACACACTGTACTATTAGGGTGTGTCTTATGCCATTTTGCGTAACTGTCATTATTCCATAAAGAAGTGTCCACAATAATGCAAAATAAAGTTAGACTGATAAATAAGACAAACCAATATTTTATCTGATATCAATGTTCTGCAGATATATCGGTATCAGTGTGCAAGTCTTCCAAAGGTATCTTCAATTTTAAGTAGCTTTGGTCACAAAGTTTCCGTACTTGTGTGTGAGTATGTTAAGTCACAATCTGTAGCCATTTTAAAGAACAATAATATGTCAAGTGTTTCTTAAATGTGCATTAATTGTATATGATTTTTAAAATTTTGGAGGGAAAATGTATTTGATTTGACCCGTCCTCCTCCGACCCAGTGTGCACTGCCATAGCCTCCAGTCCTGCGTGACCGTGCACGGGTTAACCCGGTATAAAAAAATCCAATCGTTGGATGAATGTGTTGATCTGTGCACCAGTTTTAATGTCATGAATGTGGACTGTGTGCTGTTTAGAGTCTGTGTGCTAGTTCAGTGGAGTTAAGCCGATGGATGCTGCAGCTGTCCTGGTTACTGAATCTGAGTCTCTTTCTACAGCTGCAGCCTTGTGCTGAACACAGCAGTTTTCTCATCTACACACACGACCCACACACTGCATACGTCCACTTCATGTCCATCAGAGAGGAAGACGTGTGAACGGACCAAGGAAATCAAATAGAGAGAAGTCAGTTTTATTCTTGTGAAAAACTGCCTAAAATACCTTATAAATTATGAGAGCAAACTTACCTTTGCTCTGTTTTTCACTATAGAGCATGAGGGGATTAGTGAGCAAGCCTTGCTCCAGTTGTTCAACCCCTAGTACAGAAGTATTACTGAGCATCTGCTATATATTTATTTTCAAACAGAAGATATGGTGAGAAAAATTACTCTCCGTTATCTTATTGTGGCACATGTTGTCCTAGATTTTTGGTCCACATGCTGTCGAATGTGTGCGGGAGGTCAATCGTGACATTTGACCGACATTTTTCACTAACGCCCTCCTTTCCCCTCTTTAACCAGCTTTAGGGGATCAGGGGCTTAGGTTGGCTGGGTTTCCAGGGTGCAGACGACACTAGCAAGTGTTGGTGGGGGTTGTTTTGGTTCCCTGGCATTATGCATATTAAGTCAAGGCACCAAAAGAACCTGTGTTGACAAAAGGCGACACACATGCTCAGCTCTGGCCTGGAGGCAGCCTGTTTGTAACCAGTGCCCCATTCATTCTCACAGTCAGTTCTCCTTCGTGTGGACGCCCACCGTCACATAACGCCTCTCCTCTCCTTACTCTGTGAGTGATGAGGTGCTGCATGATGGAGGGATTTAGGAAAACATGAACACCAGACTCTGGCAGAGGGTTATTATCTGTGAGATCACAAATGACGCAGCTCTGTCTGTCTGTGCATGCAGGCCTCCGTCAGAGGCAGCGTGTGTGCGTGTGTGTATAGATGTTTTGCTTGCAGAGTTGTAATAGGGATTAATCATGCTTGTTCTATTACTTCACTCTGCTTTTCCAGTTTTTGGCATCCAACACCAAACCACAGATAAATGTTTTCCCACAAAATGGTTGCAAGTTATTTTAGAAATACTCTGAAAGTGTGTTTACCCTCATCCACTAAGCTATCTTAAATCCCAACATCGTACGTCAGTATGAATCCAGCCGAAGTGAGTGCATGCCTCTGCGTGCCTGCGTCTGTGCACAGTGAGCATCGTGTTACAGAATCACGCTTCATTCATGTGAGTGTGTTACAGTACTCAGACTTAATGCAGACCTCACAAGGAGCTTTGTTCTTCATAATCTCATTAGCTGGCTAGCTACTAATATGATGTCAATTCATGATAATACAGCTAGTGAGTCACAACAGTGTGTGTGTAGTGTGTAGAAGCAGCGTACAGTAGCTCCCTCACTGTGAGTGTGAGGGGCCTTGAAAATCTGGAACAAGAGCCACAATGAAATACAAGAGTTTTATTTACAATGATTTCAATGTCCATGAGAAACAACCCGCTTTTAAATATGAACATATTCACCAGTTAAAAGGACAAAGTGTTGGAGCCCTGCAAGTGCCTTTACATGCACATCAGTCTCCCACTTTGAGTCACATATGGTATTTACTCAAGAAATCATTTTTATATGTCACAGTGTTTTCTAAGGTGAAAGTTGTTGTGGTAAAAGATCACTGTCTAAATAGACTAATGCTGTTTAGAGCGGGGAGATTGTGATCCATTATTTCTGGAGCTGCAATTTCCAGATGTCCCCTAAATGCCTCACACAGGCTCTCGATGGTTGATATAGGCGTCTGCACACAGAGAAGCTTTTAGTCTCCACTCAGTTAGTGCCTGAATACGCAGCTCAGACAGGTAGGTAGCTGTAAATTGTCTGATTTGAAAACAGTATAATTAAGAGCTTCAATAGAAACCAAGTGAAGTATTGATCATCTTTGCATGATCATATGTCCTTGTTTTGCTGATCACAGCAACTACATAACATGTTGTTGAGTGGAAGAGGCAGAAATCAATTAGCAGAAGTAAAACATGTCACAATTTCCTTATATAGGTGTCTCAGTTTTTCCAGGATTGTGTATGTACATGGACACTCAGTCTGTGCTCTCAGTGTGCTTAGTAAAGAGGACAAAGGGGAAACATTTATAGAAGTTAGGCCAGATAATATTATTCTGAAGGGAAGAGATAACATTAACATCAGCTGAAGCTAGGTCCCCAGTTGTTCTCAATTAATAATATTTAAACTCAAGGTTCATATTGAATACAATGATAGGAATACAATGGTTTAAGGCAGCACAACTCAGCCTACACACACTGAAGGGGCATGTGAATGGACTTTCACAATGAGTGTGTGAGTTTAATTGCAGAGGTAAATTTCTGAAATGTAGAGGTTGAGATTTGAAGTCATGACTAATAACTTATTGATTAGTGTCCAAATCTATTTCTAGATGCAATATCTGTGAGTTAGAGCACTCACCACTCCCCTTAATGAGATTTAGTGCCACCTCATGGTGTCTTGGTGGAGCTGCAGCCTGGCTGACTGACCATTAATCGTATTTGTCTAATCTCCTTTTGTCGAGAGGCAGCTGACTGTGACACATTCCTTTCCATTGATTTGACACAGATATCTGATAGTACAGTAACCCCCATCTCACATTCTCCACTAAACACAGTGCAACTTCTACTGTCACTACCAGGCCTTCCTTTTCTTGAGCACCATCTTTATGTGAGGAATGATGTGTCCATTAGTCTGCAGACGCACACACACACACACACACACACACACACACACACACACAGAGGCTTCTTCCTGCTGATTTTAAGGAATGTGTGTCTTATTTAAGTTACAGAAATGTTCCATCCTAAACTTAAAAAAACATCTTTCCCTATTTTTCATTGTAATGAAGTTAAATTTACTCGACCTTTTCCCTCTCAAGTACATCAGCCAACTCATAGTCATAAAAGAATTTTCAGCACAGATCATGTGAACTTCAAGAATTTTTTACACCATGGATGCCATAACTCAGGGAGTTGTGTTTCCAGACTGTGTTTGTGTGAGTGCGCACATATGTGTTTT